AGGTCATTTGTGTCCTGAGTTTTTTTGTTCATCTGTTCTATGCAGTGCTGAGAGATCAGTGTTAAAATCTCCAAAAATGATTCTGAATTATCTATTTATTTAATTCTATCAATTTTTGTTCCTCGTACTATGAGGCCATTATGGCATTATGTCCTTTTAATTGAGGTACTCAGTGCTTAATACTTGATATGATGATTGATTTAGTGGGATTTAGGGCTATAATTTTACATTTGCTCCTTTAAAAAATGTCCTCTTTTGCTTTCTTTTGGGTCATTAGAGTATTTTTTTTATTATTCCGTTTTATTTATTGTATTTCTAAGTCTACTCCTTAGTGTGTTTTTAGCGATTGCTTTAGGGATCACAGCACATGGTCTTGTGCGAGTTAATATAGTCTTGAAGCCCACCAATTGTAGAGCCTTTCAATGTCATAGGCATGTTATGTGCTAGAGTTGTGTGTATCACATCTATGTATAGGAAGAACCCCACAATGTTCAACGTTAGAACTGTTGCACAGATGTGTGGATTTGAGAGGAATTCAGAGGAAAGTACTCTTTTATATTTATTCAGGTATGGATCATCTCTGATATTCTTCCTTCTTTGCTGATTGAGTTTTTTTTTTTTTTTTTTTTTTTTTTAAAGGATTGAGTTTCTGGGCAGCCCCGGTGGCGCAGCGTTTTAGCGCCGCTTGCAGCCTGGGGTTTGATCCTGGGGACCCTGGATCGAGTCCCACATCGGGCTCCCTGCATGGAGCCTGCTTCTCCTTCTGCCTGTGCCTCTGCCTCTCTCTCTCTGTGTGTTTCTATGAATAAATAAATAAAATCTTAAAAAAAAAAAAAGGATTGAGTTTCTACCTGGCATTATTTTCCTTCATCCTGAAGAATGCCCTATTTTGCGTTTCCTGTAATATGGGTCTGATGGTAAGAATTTTTTAAAATTTTCTTTTATGTTAAAATATACTTACTTTCATTCTTGAAAGCTGGTTTGACATTCTACAAACGTGATGACAGACTTTCAGTTCTTTTTTTTTTTTTTTTAAATATATTATTTACCTATTCATGAAAAGCACAGAGTGAGAGGCAGGGACGTAGGCAGAGGGAGAAGTAGGCTCCTTGCAGGGAGCCCAATGCAGCACTCGATCCCCAGACCCGGGAATATGACCTGGGCAAAAGGCAGATGCTCAACCCATTGAGCCACCCAGGAGTCCCAATTTCAGTTTTTTAATGATGTTGTTCCATTCTCTTCTGGCCTCCATAGTTTCTGATGAGAAGTCATTAAAATCAATGTATTGTTCCTTGGATGACAAGTGTCATCTTTCTAGACTAACTTAAGATTGTTCTTTTTATATTTGGCTTCTAGCAGTTTGACTATGATGGGCCTATGCATGGTTTTCTTTGAATTTACCTTACGTGAGGATTGGATCGTGGAACTTCTTCAAGTATGTAGATTCATATCTTTTACCAAATACAGAAAATGCTAGGAATTATTTTTTCAAATACTTTTTCTTGCATTCTTTCACCTCTCATTTTGATTTCAATTACACATATGTAGATCTTTTAAAATTATTCCACAGATCCTTGGGCTTTTATTTATTCCCACTCTTTCTTTTTTAAATTGAATACATTCTATTTTTAAAAAGATTAAAAAGAAAGATTTTATTTATTTATTCATGAGAGCACAGAGTTAGGCCGAGACACAGGCAGAGGGAGAAGCAGGCTCCCTGTGAGAAGCCCGATGAAGGACTTGATCCCAGGACCCCAGGGATCATAACCTGAGCCAAAGGCAGACGCTCAACCACTGAGCCACCCAGGCATCCCTCAGTTAACTTTATGATATTTTAATTTTCAGTTGTAGAATTTCCACTTTTTAAATTTTTTTATTTATTTATGATAGGCACACAGTGAGAGAGAGAGAGAGGCAGAGACACAGGCAGAGGGAGAAGCAGGCTCCATGCAGGGAGCCCGACGTGGGACTCGATCCCGGCCGGGACTCCAGGATCAACCCCCAGGCGGAAAGCAGGCACCAAACTGCTGAGCCACCCAGGGATTCCCTCTGTTGTGGTTTTCAAAAAATCTTTTCACTCATTGAAAACATATTTTCCTTTCCATCAGTGATTATAGTTAAAATAGTTACTTTTAAATCCTTGTTTGCTAATAGTATTACCTGGGTCACATCAGAGATCAATCTCTATTACTTACCTGTTTTTGTTTGAGAATGGCTAACACTCTCCTTTTCTTTTTATATCAATATTAATTTTGAATTGTCTCCTGGATGGGTCGAGTGCTATTTTCTGTGGACTTTGGACTCATACACACACATCTCCAGAGCTGGTCTTGTTATTTCATGTTTGTGTTGGTATCAGGCTAAGACTTGGCCGGGCTCAGGCTACAAACCCTGTCCCATGGATAGCAGCTCTGATCTCGTGCTAGACTTCATTTTTTTTTTTTTTAAGATTTTATTTATTTATTCATGAGAGACACAGAGAGAGGGAGAGAGGCACAGACACAGGCAGAGGGAGAAGCAGGCTCCATGCAGGGAGCCCGATGCAGAACTCGATCCCGGGACCCCGGGATCACGCCCTAGTCTGAATGCAGGTGCTCAACTGCTGAGCCCCCCAGGTGTCCCTCATCTTGGTTCTTTTATTCCTAGCCTAGTTGCTTGCAGTCTGCCACATGCCTGTGCTCCAGTGTCACCTGGAAATTTAGGCGCAGTTTATAAACAGAATTTGGGCCTCCCCTTCTCTCGCTCCCTCACCTCTGGGATGCCCCGGTACTTCCCAGAGGCTGTCGCTGCCCAGCTCTGTCTCCCAGCTCCTCAGGACAGAAGGACTCCCATGTCGTATCTACCCCGGGTGGGACAGACTGCAGCCTGCCCTTAGGCTGGAAGCAGTGGAGCGGGCAGCTCACTTCTGTAGCGTCTGCCTGCCCGTGCTCCCGCGGACGACTCCAGTAAGTGGTCTTTTGTATTTCGTGCACAGTTCATAGTGCTGGGGGAGGCTAGTTCACCAGGAGGCTACTCTACTGTACTGGAAATGGAAGCCCAGCCTCCAATTTCTGTGGAAAAACCCTACTGGGGTCTTAAAACCTGCTTTGTATAAAATCTGTAGATCATTTTGGGAAGAAATGACAGTTCTACGATAATGAGCCTTCCAATTCTTAAACTCCATGTATCCTCCTACTTACTTATTTTTCCTAAAATTTCTCTCAATTGGGTTTTACAACTTTCTGTCCATTGGTCTTGTGCTCTGTTTTATTTTGAGGTATTTGGTTGTTTGATGCTTTTGTAAATGTTGTGGTTTTTTTTTTTTTTTTTACATCCTACCTAGCATTAATGGTCAGTGCCTAAAATCTTAGCTTTATGGATCTTGTCCAAACAATTAATGCTAATGAAATAAGCGTTTCTAATGACAAGATGTATGGTTTGGCGCATCTCCCACAGCACCTGCAACGAAGCTAAGGTTTTCGAGAAGGTAGGATTTCAGGGATTGAGGCTTGGGCTTTTTAAACTGGACATTTAAGCTGAGCGAGGGGCAAATTCTGTTAGGAATCAACCAAAGCAATCAGCGATTCTACCTGAAGAAAACCGTCTGATGGGCGTGATGCCTAGAGAATGGAGCTTGGCAGCCTCGCACCCCTCGGAGTAAGGGGGACTCAGGACGCCATCAGGCCCCTCTGAGAGGAAGGCTGTTTCTTGCTTGCACTTCCGGGTGTCGAGGGAGATGTCACAGGAAGGCTGACCTCTCAGAGTTCCCACCTGAACTTTGCAGTAAGCTCCTCTCTGAGCTAGACCAGTAGAAGCCATCCGTGATAGCCGTAGTTAGCTCTTTGTGGGAGTCAGCCAAGAAGCTGTTGTAAATGAGTCATTCGAGAGTTTGCAGACAGCCCGCATCCAGCAGATCTGGGTCAGTCTCGGAGGGGGCAGGCCTGCCTCCGACTCTAACTTAGGAGCGGACATCTGATTGGCGTCCCCAGCGCTTGGTCAGTGCTGGCAGCCTGACAGGAGGCCTGCCTGCATCCGTCAGCGTTAGGGTCCGAGTCCCAGGTTTCTGTCTCCAACGTGAGAGAGAGAGACCCTGGGCTGCTGACAACCTTCCCAAACTTGGACCTCACCTGCCACATGGGCTTGGCCCGCGTGGAGAGCTCAGTGCACCAGTTTGCTTCTCACTGGTGGCCACAGATTTCAGCCACTGCACCTTCTTTCCCAGGCAGCAGCGGGAGGGGCAGCCTTGACTGGTGGGTTCCACTCCAGACTCAGGCCTCAGGCTACTGTTCTGGGGCAAAGGGGCTGATGAGGCAGATGGCTGCCTTCTGATTTATCTGTGCGTCTTGTCTCCATAAGTGGACAAACTGGTCATATGTTGTATTGGGTTGGTGTCTCCCAAAATTCACATTGACCCAGAACCTCAGTGTGTGACACTGTTAGGAAATGGTGTCTTTGCACAGTTAATTGAACTGTGTTGAGATGAAACCCTTTTTTGAGACGAAACCATTTTGAAGTAGGTGGGCCCTACATCCAATGACTGGTGTCCTCAAAAGATGAAATGCTATAGAGAAGCCATGTGACCATAGAGGCACAGACTGGAGGGATGTGGCGAAGCCCAGGGCCCCCGGGGCCAACAGAAGCAGCTTCTAGAGCTGTGAGAGAATAAATTTCTCGTTTCTCTGTAAGTTGCTATTTATAACATTGATGACCCTAAGACACGAATGGGCCTGCATCTACAGATCAGTGATGTGTTCACGAGCTTGACCGTGGGATGTGCATCCATTCTTGATGGCGGGCGTCCTCTGCTAGGCCCGACGTGCTGAGGAGCACTGTCAGCTTGGGTGGGGAAGTCACCTGTCAGATGGGACTCTGGCAGCCAGGCCCAGGCCACCAGCTGCCAGCTAGCTGCAGGTCTTTCTTGTTTGTTTGTTTTATTATGTAGTATTCGAGGTGGACAACAAAAGCTTAGATAATACATTGGACGCTGCCTATCTCCCACATAACTGGAGCAACACGGAAAGTGTGGTTTTGGTTATGTTTATTTTTATATTTAAGTGAGTGATGCTTTCTCTTTTTTATTGAAAAGACCATATACTGTTTAATAAACTAAGGCCTGCGTGGCTGCTGGCCTGGGGAGTTGCCTTTCCTTCCACCCATGGTTTTGCACATTTTTGGCTTGGCAGGCAGCAGGACTGCATTTTGGGTTTCTGCCGTCGTCACAGCAAATGTGTTCCCATGTTTAAACCTGGCCTTGGGGATCCCTGGGTGGCTCAGTGGTTTAGCGCCTGCCTTTGGCCCAGGGCTTGATCCTGGAGTCCCGGGATCGAGTCCTGTGTCAGGCTCCTGGCATGGAGCCTGCTTCTCCCTCCTCCTGTGCTCTGCCTCTCTCTATGTCTATCATAAATCTTTTTTTTTTCTTCAAATTTTTTTTTAATTTTTATTTATTTATGATAGCCACAGAGAGAGAGAGAGAGGCAGAGACACAGGCAGAGGGAGAAGCAGGCTCCATGCACCAGGAGCCCGATGTGGGATTCGATCCCGGGTCTCCAGGATCGTGCCCTGGGCCAAAGGCAGGCGCCAAACTGCTGCGCCACCCAGGGATCCCTATCATAAATAAATCTTAAAAAAAAAAAAACAAAAAAAAAAACAAACCTGGTCTTTATAGCTACACTCATTTTCATTGTCCCTTTTTCCTTTATGTGAGGTGGGAGGTCTCTTTCCAGCTGTAGAAGTCATAACTCTTTGTGGCCACAGGTAAAGCCACACAGATATTCAAGAAAATTCCCCAAGTCCTCAGGGTGAGTGAGCAAGGTGTGCAGGTCGGCAGCGGGGGGGGGGGGGGGGGGGGGTGTCCCCCCCTTAGGAGGAGGGCAGGAGCCCCAGGGCTGCCCTGTTCCCTCTCAAGGTGGGCAGCTCCCCTCTTCCCTGGGGTGAGGTGGGAGGGGGTGCAGACCTCCTGCTGGACTGGACGCTGCGCCGCAGCACCCTGGGGTGAGGTCGGCACCCAGGTGGGAGCAGGCCTGGTGCAGGCAGGAGTGGAGGCGGCATGCACCCACGGGTGCGGTGAGTGGGGGGGCGCCCCCACGTGGCACCGCCGAGCTCCCTGTGGGGAGGCTTCCGCGTGGAGGGGGCGACCCGACAGTGGGGACCGACCCTGGGCCCACTTCCCACGCGCACTCCAGTCCGGGCGCTCCGAGGGTGCAGACATCGCGGGGCCACGACCGCCGTCGTCACGCGGGGGGGCCGGGAGGCACCTGCCGATGCTTGTGCGTGGTTCACTTCAAACCGTCCAATTAGTCGTCAAGGTTTACAGACTCTGATTTTACACGTAATTCCCCGTTTCTGCTCGGCCGAGCAGCAGCCCCGCCCGCGGAGAGCTCGGTGGGTCCCGGCCCCCCGACGGCCCCCGCCCCTCCCCCTCCCCGCCCCCCCCTCCCCTCCCCGCCCCCGTCCCCCCGCCCGTCCCCCCGCCCGTCCGCGCACCGCGCCGGCAGGAGACCGTACCTGACCCGTCCTGCGGCCTCTGGGTCACGCTGCCGGTCGGCGGGAGGAGAGGAAACAGGAAGAGCAGAGGCCGTCCCCGCGGGCCGCTCCGACCCGGCTGCCGCGCCGCGGGCCTGTCCGCCCCCCCGTGATTTATGGGCCCCGCGCGGGGCCGGGCCGCCCGAGGCAGGCGCCGCCGGGGACGCTCGGGCCGCCGCCGCCGCCGCACGCACGGGGACCCGGGGACCCGGGGCGCGCCGGCCTCCGCCGCGTGCCGCCGCCGGCTCGCCCTCCCCGGCCCCGCCATGGCGACGGCGGCGCGGAGGGGCCTCGGAGCACGGCGTCCCTCCCTCGCCCGCCCGCCCGCCCGCCCGGCGCTCCCGTCAGCTCCGGCCGCAGCCATTTTGGAGCGAGCGCAGACAAAGACCCAGCCCCGGGGCTGCCCCCCAGCGGGCCCCCGCCGCGCCCCCCGCGCCCTGCCCCGGCCGCGACCGCGACCCCAGCCGCGGCCCCGGCCCGCCCACCCGCCCGCCGGCCCGGGGCCCCCCGCTCGCCCCCCGCGCCCAGGCCGCCCGCCCGCGCCCCGGCCTCTGCCGCTCGCAGCCATTGGCCGCGCCTTTTAAGCGCGCGCCGCGGCCAATCGCGAGGCGCCGGGCGGCCGGGCGGGGGGCGCCGCGGCCAATGGGAGCGCGCCGGGCGGCGGGCGGGGGCGGGCGTGCCGCCGCGCCTGCGCGCTGCGCCGCCGCCGCCCTCCCCCCCCCCCCAAGCCGGCCGCCCCCCGCCCGCCCGGCCGCCGCCCCCGCCCCGCAGGCGCGCGCCGCCCCCCGCCCGCGCCCGCCCGCCCGCCCGCCCGCCCGCCCGCCCGCGCGGAGCCTCCTCCCCGCCCAGCGCCGGCGAGCGGCGGCGGCGGCGGGCCGAGGAGGAAAGATGGCGGCGGGCTCGGATCTGCTGGACGAGGTCTTCTTCAACAGCGAGGTGGACGAGAAAGTGGTGAGCGACCTGGTGGGCTCGCTCGAGTCGCAGCTGGCGGCCAGCGCGGCCCACCACCACCACCTGGCGCCCCGCGCGCCCGAGGCGCGGACCGCGGCCGCCGGCGCGCTCGGGAACCATGTCGGAGCCGGAGCGGCCGTGCCGGCCGAGGGCGCGCCCGCAGCGGCGCCGGAGCCGCCCCCCGCAGGTAGAGCGCGGCGCGGCCTGAGCGCGGGCGGGCGCCGGCCGGGCCCGCGTCCTCACCGCGCCGCCCCGCTTGTCCCCGCAGGGCCCGCCGCCAAGCTGAGCGCGCTCGAGGCCGGCGCGGGGGCCGGGGCCGGGGCCGGGGCCGGGGCCGGGGCCTGCGCGCCCGGGGCCGCGCCCGCCGCCCAGCCCGCCGCCCAGCCCGCCGCCCAGCCCGCCGCCCGCAACGGCCCGCCCGGCGGCCCCGGAGCCGCGCAAACTTTGAATGGGAGCGCCGCGCTGGGGACCTCGCTCCGCGCCGCCGCCGCCGCACCTGCTGTCAGCCTGCTCCACAACGGGCCCGCGCCCGCGCCGCCGCCCAAGCCCAACGCCCGCCGCCGCCGCCACTGTCATCCAGACGCCGCCCTTCCTCGGCGCCCCCGCCGCGCCCGCGCCCCGCGCCCCCTCGCCGCCCGCGCCCCCCGCGCCCCCCGCCGCGGCCCCCGCGGCCCCCGCCAGCGCCGCCGCCGCCGCCGCCGCCGCCCCGCCGCCGCCGCCGCCGCCGCCCGCCGCCGCCAGCCTGGCCCGGCCGCCCGGCCCCCCGGCCGCAGCCGCAGCCGCAGCCCCGCCCCGGCCCCGGCCCCGGCCCCGGCCTCGGCCCCGGCGGCCGCGCAGAACGGGGGCAGCGCCGCGCCCGCGCCCGCCCTCGCCCTCGCGCCCGCCCCGGCCCCCGCCCCCGCCCCCGCGCCCGCCCCCGCCCCCGCCCCCGCCCCGGCCCCGGCCCCCGCGCCCGCCCCGGCCCCCGCGCCCGCGCCCGCGCCCGCCCCGCCGCCCGCCGCCAACAGTCAGCCCGGGCCCGCCGCCGCCGCCGCCGCCGCCGCCGCCGCCGCCGCGCCCGCGCAGGTGGCCAAGGCCGACTCGCCCAAGACGGCGGTGCAGCCGGCGCCCGCGCCGCCCCAGGCCCTGGCGACCAGCTGCCCGGCCGGCGCGGGGGCCGGCATGATCCTCGGGCCAACTATGCAAGGGGCGCTGCCCGCCGCCGCCGCCGCCGGACTGCCGCCGCCGCCGCCGCCGGCCCCCGGCACCCCCGGCGCCCCCGGCGCCCCCGGCGCCCCCGGCGGGCTGCCCAAGGGCCCGGCCGGCGCGGCGCCCCAGAGCCTGCCCAGGACGCCGTCGGCCACCAGCGGCGGGATCCGGGCCACGCTGACGCCCACGGTCCTCGCCCCCCGCCTGCCGCAGCCGCCCCAGAACCCGACCAACATCCAGAACTTCCAGCTGCCCCCAGGTGAGTGGCCGCGCCGGGCGGGAGGCCGGGGAGCTGTGGGGGGCTGGCAGGGCGCTGGGGTGCGGGGGGTGCGCGGGCCTGCCTGCGGCCGACCAGCCCGGCTGCTGCCCTCGGGGACGGAGAGTGTGCGTGTGAGTGTGCGCGCGTGTGTCCGCGTGTGTCTGTCCGCGTGTGTCTGTCCGCGTGTGTCCGCGTGTGCGCGCGCCCGGGGTGCCGGGGCAGCGGGGGTCCCGGTCCTGGGGCCGCGCTTCACGCGTGCTCGCTCCTTGCGTTGCAAAGTTTCTGGGCTCCCACCGCGGCCGCGTGTGCCCCTGCCCGCCCCGCCCCGCCCCCTTCCCGCCTCCCCTCCCCCCCCCCTCGCGGCAGAGGCCGAGGGGTGATGGTGATGGAGCCGGTCCATGCGGCCCCTGCACTTGGTGCTTCCCCTCCTGCTTCTGCGGAGCACTTGTGTCTGGCCTGTGTCCTCACTGAACTCTGCTGCTGCTGCTCTGTTATCCTGGGCTGGGATGGAGGGTTGGGCATCCCCCCCATCCCCCCCATCCCCCCCCATCCCCCCCCCATCCGTGAGGTCAGGCACAGTAGTGACACTCCTTCCTTGTGGCTGGGCAAGCCTGCATGGAAAGCTTCCGCTTCCCTGCTAACCCCAGGATGGCAGGGATCCCAGGTGAGCCCTGGAGGGATCCTCGGGCACACACCCTTCCTGGTCCACGTCCTTGCCTCTGCGCTGTGCTGTGCACTTCCTGTGGCCACAGTGGCCCGCAGCGCGGTGTGCTGGTTAAAGGGTGCCCGGTTGTCTCGGTTAGTACCATCCGGGGACAGCAGCGGGTCTCTCAGAGGTACAGACAACGCCTGCTGACACGGAGCTGCGGGGTCCCCACCCGTGCGTGTCCTTCGTCTCCCGCGTCGCCTGGGCCGTTGGTGAGGGTCCCTCAGGCCTGACCGCGGAAGGGCCTCCCCAGCATCCCGGGTCATGCTGCTTTGTTTGGGGATTCCCAGGCAGAGAGAAAGTTTAGCGGTGGAGGCGCCCCTGTTTCTCTTGCATCCTCTGCACCTCGCCTGCGTGGACTGCCAGTGCTGAGCTTCTGGAGAGCTCCTCCCTTGCCGTGTAGTAACATGTGCTGGTGGAGCGGCCGCCGCCGCCGTGGCAGGAGTAGTAGAAACAGCACCTCCCCTGTGCCCGCGTGCGCTCTGGAAAGAGCCGTTGGTCACCTTGACAGAATTTCAGCATCTTAAGAAGGGGAGGGTTCCTTGTCAGAGCCTGTGAGCACCGGACTGGGGCCAAAGCTGATGGGGGTGTTTTTATATGGGCAGGAGTAGGGAAAGCTTGCAGCCCCCACCCGCATTTTGGGGCTGCGGGGGTTTGCCTCGCTCTTAGGGAGAAAGGTGGTGCTGGAGAGGGGCTGAGATGCCCCCTACAACAACACACTTGGTTTCCTTTTCAAAGTCGTGGTGCTGTTGATTGAAGCGTCTGTTTTGCTCCTTTTGTGTATTTTGACTGTTCGGCGGCCAATACGGCTGATCTCTAGTGACCTTTAGAGGAGGGAATTCGTGGTTGTGGTACGTCAGGTCGTAATGTCAGGACACTCCTTACCTGTCTACGGAAGCGCCTTTCCGGTGGTCCCACACTGTTCAGCACTTGCCTGACTCCCAGCAAAGACCATTCCCTGTGCTGTACTTTTGTTATTTAAACCTGGTGTGAGCTCCTCAGCAGTCGGTGTGGCAGGGCAGGCAGGGCAGGCGCTTGGCCTGGCTCGCTGGGCCTGTAGGTGTGGCAGTTTGGGGCTGGCCGGATCCCGGGTCTGAGCCTTGGCTCCAGTGAAGCCCCCTCCTTATTTCTGCTGGGGGGGGGGCACAGGGAGGAAGCCGTGGTTGGGAAGGGGCATCTCTGCCATCTTTGTCATGTTGACCCTGGACTCACTTTTATCTTCTGTTCTAATGTCACCATCAGAGATGTCTTTGTGTGACTAGTAGACGGCCGCTTGAAAAAAGCTGTAAACTGCTGACTCTTTGCAAGAGTTGTCACGAGTGTTTGCGTTAAGCCCCCTGTATTTAAGAGCACAGAGCTGCCCGTGTTGACATTTGGGCAACAGATGTCCTCTAGAATAGAAAAGATTATATCCGTGTCTCCATTGCCCCCCAACCTCTGACCCCCGCCAATTGGGAACTCTCGATTTCTCTCACATCACCTCACTTCTGTAACAGCAAAGGCAAAAAAAAAAAAAAAAAAAACAATGGTTAAGATTATTACCCGGGAACAAAGTTCTTTCTTTTAAATAGTATGATTCTGTAAACTGAGACGACAGATTGTGAATATTCTAGTTATATAATTGGTCAGGAAATACTAAATTCTACTAGTCAATGTCCTCTCTTCACTGCAGTCTTTCATCATACGACGACGTATAAAGAGGAGGTGGAAGTGACTTGTAAAAATAACTATGCTTGGCTAACAGCTCATTCTTGTTACAACTCAGAGATGCAAACACTTGGGAGGAGGGGATTAGGGGCGGGCAGGGTTTTCCAGGCTGCACACAGGTGTCAAGTGAGCTCACGGACTGCTGGCAGCTGGAGTGTGTGTGAAAGAGTCTTGCTCCTCAGGACCTGGCCTTCCTGCAGGCCGGGGCTCCAGGTTGGGCAGAGGAGGGACCGAGGTCTCCCCAGGGCCTGAAGCCAGCCCTGGGCCTTCAGGCTCCACTCTCACTGCGTGCTGTGAGCCTCTGTGGACTTTGGTTTTACCAAAATCCGTCTTGATGTGCTCTGTCAGGACGGTTTTGTAAAGAAGTGTTTATGTTACTATAGTTGATTTGCTTGTTTGAAGGTACCAGAGTCTAAATTTTATCTGTCGTGGGAATGACAAAAATGGATAAGGGATTTTTCCTGCAAAGGCAGCTGTCCCAAGAACT